AAAATCATATTTTATATCACACCTTAAGTTTTTATGCAACAGGTCAGTTCTATTACTTTGTTACAAACACCAAATTCTTTTAAGACTGAAATAAATATTTTGAGGATTTACTAGTAAAAATAAAAAGGTTAATCAACCCATTTAAGAATTTTTCTAATCATCAATAGAAATCATAACTTTTATTTGTATGTATATATGTGCATGTACATGCATATGATACATGTGTGTATATATACAAAAAACAGAACATCCAGTACTCATAAATTAAATATCAATACTAGGCTAAATGGAATCTCAAACAGGTTATGATGTCTTATGGCAAGCAGATACTTAAACAACCATGTCATGTTGTTAGGTTGCTGCTTCACTGACAATGTCACAGCATTTTACTAACTCTCCATGTCTGCTTTACTTCAAAACCTTCGAGAAGAAATTTAAATAGCTACCAGACCAGCACAAGTAAAATGTATGCTGGCTTTTCAAGCTTTGCCTGTTTCCTGCGGGAGATACCACAGTTCTCAATTCCTGGTAAGAAAAACAGCTAGGTTCATTTTTAGAACAACCAGTTCTGCATCTGCGTTTATCTGCTTTTATGTTATGGAGAGGACATTTGGCTGGGTTGCCAGTAAAAAATGGTACCGGACATAACCAGTGGGATGATAACTGCTATTGAAACATAAGTTGTTTGATACAACTAAAATTTAGTTGCTGGAAACTATTTAATGGTTATTTTGTCATCAAAGAGTATAGTAATATGTCTGGAATATCTGGAATATAACCTAGCACAGAGAAGACAGAGGAGAAATGTGGCTTGCCAACTATATAATATGTTGTTATTGTTAAAATGTATACACCTTTTCCTCACACACACACACACAACAAACAAACAAACAAACAAATAAACAAAAAACTTATGCTCTATGAGAAAAATTAATAAGAAACTCTTCTTTCAGGTTAGCTATTTGCAGGCTGTATTTGTTCATCCTTGTGAGACTTAGAGGAGTAGCATCCAGAAAGGCATCAAGGGATGTTTCCGAAAAAGTCACCTGAGAAATGCTTGAGATCAAGAAAAGAGTTTTAAAGAAGGTGTTTGATACTAGTGCAGTAATCAATATACTTATCCACTTATACAAACTGAAACTCATCTAGCCTTTCTTAGATACAATTATTTTACTTGCTTCCTGGGTTTTTGGCAACTTTGTGTAAGATTCATGAACAAAACTTAACTAAACTATTTCACATCTGCCCTCACCATGCTAGGTTAAGATACGAAGTGTGAGAGTTTGGCTTTACAATTCTGTAAAATACAAAATCCAGATGCTTTTAACTTGAAATTATTTCTTTGATAACAAATGAATTGCAAAAGAACAGTTTAGAGCACAACACACTGCCAGGAGAGTAACGCCAGCAGCTGCCCAAGCTGCTCTGCTGTCAGCCCCTGCTTCGCACTGTGCTATATCTGCACAAGGTCAGGAGTTGGTGAGAGGCAATGGGGCCTTCCAGGTGCCCCACAGGGAGCACAAGGGCACAACCTCACCTCATCTGGCTGGCCATCCCAGAAAGCTGCTGCTCTCACCATGCGCCAGGCAGCCGGGCGAAACCCCAGGAGTGAGAAGTTGGTCGTTTACCACAGAGAAGACAAAGGACTGGAGCTGGCAGAGGTTTAGTAAGGGTAAGATGAGAAAGAAGGTGCAAAAGTAGAAGCTGTCATCCCTGGGCAGCTGCTGTGAACTCCTGCTGTTTGCAGCCTCTCGCTGGCAGGAAGCAGACTTGCTGCAGTTTGCTATAACAAAAGCATTTGGAAGGGAATCATAGAATCACAGAATATCCTGACTATGAGAAGGATCATAAAGATGTGAGTGTCACTTCAATAGTGTGCTGAAGACCCAATACTTGTATCCTTAACATTAGGCAGTACCACTACTCTCACTTCTCAATACCATATTATCTCCACAGCAATGCCATTTTCAAATCCTTTTTTCATCTGTTCTGTATTTGCACTGTGAGATCTGATTTTGAGTCCCATGTTTAGAATTCCATTAATAGCTTCTGTTAATAGCAGTCAGTAACGTGATGGTAAAAAAGCAAACAATTCTTGGCTTTAATTTTAAAAGTAAGAATATCCTTTGTATTTTGCATTTTTTTTTTTCGTATTCAAATTGTACAATTTGAATTTTGTGTTTCTAAAAATAGGAATATTTTTTACTGCATTGTATTGTACCCAATATCCTTCTCATTCTTAAAGGAAACATTTCATTTTAGTAAGCAAGCTATTAAAATACATTCAATATATTCATCTTCTCTACATACATGGGAGGCAAATCTCACTTTTCTGCACTTTCAGTATTTCTATCTTTGAGTAGCCTTCACCTTTGAGAAGTCTTAGTGCTAGACTCAATTAACAAAACAGCAAATTCTTCCATTGCAGCAAAAAATGATTTTCACTGACCAGAAGTAAAATTACTAGTTGTTGTTAATAAAGTTTATTTCACAGGAGTTATTACTGGTTTGCAGTGTAATCTTCCCAAATACATATACAAGGACTCTTTCCCTTCCTCCTTATTTCCCTTGCACCAAGTAACAAAGCTTTTGTCTTGATCCTTTCTGCTTTTTTCATCTTAGGGTGTCTCTAAACAAATGATACAACTGGATTTATGCATACTGAAATCAGTGGTAAGAAGAGACAAAACTGCATTCAAAAGGTGCAGACCTTTGAACTTGCAATTCAGAAGTTTTAGTCACATTTTGTTCAAGAGTAATTAGAAGGCTGGTCATGTCTCTCTGCTCCAGATTGTGTTTGTAATCTACCACCTATCTGTTCTCTTTGCTCTGAGGCTTCTGTTGAGCAACCGCTGTGTTTACCTGGATGATGTTTGCTTTTCCAGTTTTGGTTTTAGAGACTAGGTATTATCCTGAAGCAGCAATTTCTCCTCTGATCTCCAGAGAAATATCACTTTGCTTCTGAAGTTTGTCAGTCTGCTTAGGTAAGAGAAATCGCTTCCAAAACTGCTTGATACTCTAATGGCTGTTTTGCAAAGTGTAAGGCGATAGCAACGAGAGAATGTTTTATAAGTACGCATTATGTACTCTAGATTACCAACACCACAGAAGCTAAAGCAGCCTCATTCACAGTGGTTTGTTATTTCATAATATTCCACAGTTATCTCCCTACACTTAACCTTCCACTGTGACTCCTGCTTGAGCACATGCTAAATAGACCACACCAGAAGACTCCATGCCCGATGTGGTTTGTGGGCAGTATATATTACCAAGGAGACTTTCTGACATTGTAGCTATAAAAAATTAAAAGGTTGCAACAACAGAGGTTCGCAAGAACAGTATTTAATCTTACCTGCAGTATGTTATTTGCTTTGTATTGTCCCTAATGGACTAGCAAACGTTTGGACCACTTAACTACACATAATTAAATTAACTTTCTTATTGTGCTTAGTTAAACTCATGAAAAGAAAGCAATTTTTAGTATACAGAGGAAGAGAGGAAAATACTGTATGAAACATTCAGCACAAAATTCTATGTGGTTTAGAGTACATGTAGAACAAGAATTATGTAATAGCATGACAGTGGTTAATGCATGACAGCAAGTGAAGTTATCTTTCTTACAGTATCTGAACGAAGCCAAAAGGAAGTTATGTCTTCCGTCTAAGTATTTTTGTTCATACTTACAGTATAATTATGATTTTTTAACAGTTTGTAACACTTTTTCCCTTCTCCCAGTATCTTAACTGCAAAAGTATCTTGGTATCGTAGCAGTTTATACTGAAGAATGAGTTGAACAGATGTATAGGGAGCTACATGATATATAAATAACACTTCTTGCTATTTATGATATTTAGAGGAATGAACTGAATAAGGGCAAAATAATACAAGAACAATACATGGCACTTAACACTTGGAAATCAAAGACTAACTAACATGTTTCTATTGTATTTATTACTACCAGTAGGAGAATTACATCTCGGTGCTTCCATGAGTTCTGTGTATTCTGACCCAAATACCCACAGCAGGTCCCCTTGCCTGACTGCAAGGTCTAGCCTTTATCTCCAGTAAATAAGTTAGTGTAGCCTTTCTGTGGATAAGTATTATCAAGTGTTTAATATAAAAGATTTAAACAGTAAGTCATACTGTGAACTCTTTAATAAGCAGGGACTTACGTCATAACTTAATTTCTTTGGTTGCATTACTCATGCAAATTACTGGTAAATCAGAATAAGAAGCTCACAGTATGGCTTCTGGTTTCATAAGAAGGACCTGGCAGTGTTGAAAATAAAAATCAAGTTGCTTGAAATTCTTTAAATCTAGCCAGACATGGTTTTCTTGTTTTTTATTTATTTTTTAATATATATATATTTTTATGCCAAGCTAGTTTGCTTAATGTTGTAGTCCCAAACGAAGTTGTAAAATTGCTAATAGTTTTCTAGGTCTGAACTTTCAGATTCTGACCTCTGACTGACCCAGTGACATTGAACACAGTTTAAAACTGGTGTGGTCCCTGTCAACTCAGCATCTCTTTTGTCAGGGAAAAATCTGATCTCCCACAGATATTTATTTCAAATGAAGTTTTAGGTGCTGGAGGACAAGTCAAGGCGAGCTTAGTTTTTCTTGCTATAACAATTTGAGTTCATACTGCATTTACTATAAATTGCACCGTATAATTGCATAATAATTGATAGCTCTCTGAGGCAGTTTGTAACTCTGCAAATATAGCTTTGCAGTACTTTAATTACAAGCATTAAGTTTATTCCAGGTTGTTGGAAAATTCTGGTATTTTACCATTTAGAAAGTAAGTGGTGCATTTTAATAGATGCACTCATCAATAAAGTACATTTTATATTAATAATTAAGCATAACCGTGCTGTGAGCTGTAACTGGTATTTGTTAAGCCAAACCCTGTCTCTGTCTCTGGCCTTTTTGGAATAAGCAAGAACAAACTTCATCAAAGTTGAAATAAGGTGAACAAAGTCTGAGAGAGAACAATAGGATAATGATAATTTGAGTTTAATTTGAAATAGTGTGTGTTAACAGATCAAGATGCAAAATCCTGTTACTTGGAACATTCTGAACAGTTTGGTGATAGCTTCTTTTTAAGTAATAGTTTTCTCAAATCGAAGAGGTGCTTCAAGTCTCAAGACTCTGCATTGGCTGTATTTCTTTGCTAAACAAGGGGGAATTACAAAAGGGGGCATGGCAGTGGCTGTCATCCTTACATGCAGGTGAGCTCCTAGAGACTAAAATAGCATGAGAATACAGGAAGAGAAGGGACCTCTTCATTACATGTATACACAATTCAGTAAAGATGTCTTCTAGACCACAGGGTTAAAACTGTTTTAAATTATAAATCTGGGAGCAGCATCAGACAGTTCATTCAATCCCGTATCTACTATAGAGTTACTGTAGAATTTGAGTCTTCCAGGACCCACTTTACTCTGCTGTAAAACAGCTTGAGTTTAATATAGGGGCACATCAGCAGACCTTCCTAGCACTTGTTTCTAAAGTGCTTCAAGAAAAGCAGATGTTATGCATTTACATTGAGACTGAATAATAACTGCTGTAGTAGTTCATCAGAGGTGATAAAGTATTCACTGTCTTCACCAGGTAGGAAAGTAACTCTTCTCTATGTAGAAGTGCCCCATGGGCCTGTCGTTGAGAATTAGGTAAGACATAAAACCAATTTTAGTCCTGAAGCCTTCAGGCCTGGTCTCTTCAGCCAGGTATTTCACCCTGCTCAGTGGGTGGCAAGGCTTGCAGTAAATCCTGGGAGCTAGAAAAAGGGGTAAAGGAGGCTAAGAAACATTTCCCTCTACAACATTTGAAAACTAAGATTAGTAGGGAATTTAGAGTACGACAATACTCGAGCAACAATATGGCAGTACTAGGATATTAGCTTAATCTTAAATTGGTTGGTTGTATTTATTTTTTTAGTTCTTTAACAACCTATTTAATTATACAGTACTGTAACTGGGAAAAATGCTTCCCGATGCTCTGAAATAGTTGCTTACCTTGATAGCTGCAAATGTTATTCAGGACACCCCTGTAAGAATCTGTCTTCTTATGACTGAGTGACTTTCCTCAGCAGTGAATTCTGCTTTGTGCAGCATCTCCAGTGATGTGGCTTTACAAGTATGATCACAGAATCAGCAAAACCCTAGCAGGGAAATAGTTGTGTTCTATGAATGTGCATATTGATATTCTTAAAGAGCATCTAAATAAGCAGTCATTCCTTTGACCTTTGTACCAGCTGCTGGGAAAGCAAAGAGAAAAACTAACCATGTGCTTGCAAGAAATTGGGTAGCATCACTTTCTTGTTTAAAACACCAGCAGAAGCACAGAAATTCAAAATAGCTTGCCTAGGGTCAATGAGCAAGACAGGGGGAGAGCTGGGAATCAAACCCAGGTCTCCTTGAAACCAGCCCACTGCTTTGCCATAAAGAAACTGCCTTCAGAAGCAAGTTCTTTTCTCTTTTGAGATACAAGGTCCCATATGGATTTTTTTTATATTGCAATTGCAAAAATAATAATGAAAGTAGTCAAGTGAGAATCTGCTGCCCGCTAATTTAAAACTGAATTCATGACTAGCATCACTGTTGGCATAAAGGGTCTGATGTTTTATAGCATCATTGGCTCCCTTTCTATGGCATCAAGAGATTTTAAAAGCAAATAAAGTGAAATGGAACCTAAGAGAAAAGTTTTGACAACCTAGACAAAGTAGAAAGGGAACACCACTTAACCAAGGTAGAAGTAAAATGATGGATTTTTTTTTGTTTTGTTTGTTTGTTTATTTTAGGAATGTAAGACTTTTGCAGGATCAAATCCTGGCCCCTGCTTTTAAATCTCCCTATGTTTTCTATTCCTGTTCACAAAAAGATCACTTATGGTCACTCAGTTGAATAAATCCAGATATTTTTCCTCATCCTACAGTCCTCACTAGTGAATCAGTTTACTGCAGTGGTTCTTGGTAGGTTTCAGCGCCTGAGCTTGCACTTTGTACTTCTGGAAAGAGAGGTGTGTGGCATGAAATGTGATCTCTGAACAACTTTCCCACTAGAGCAAAGAGCTTCTTTTCCCTCCCCAGGTACAGAGCAGCAATGCCTGTCAGCTTTTCCTCACTTTCAGAGTTAGTTTCTTGTCTCATCAGTTTAAACAGGTGCAGCCTTCAGGCTGCCTTTCAGCTTTCTCAGGCACAGATCTTTTCATAGCTTTATGTATTTTCAACATGCTCACAAATCTTTTTCCTTAAGTCACTCATTATCTTTAATCAAATGGCTATTGATGAACCTTTTTGCTCAGTTTTCCCTTCACTGAGATCAGACCAATAAAAGGGCACCATAGGGGAACATGGAAATACACAGATAGAAAACAGACTGTTTGCTAAGCAGCCATCAAGTCAGCCACGTGGTAAAGAAATATAATATTTGATAGCCAGCAGGTTACTTACAGCAGCCCATACTTGTACACATAAGGATTATATGGTTGATGTAGAATTATTATTATTTTCAGTTTCCTGTTCTGGACATTTTAAAACTCTCATCCTGCCGTTGATATAATTCTGCATTTATAACACAACGACCCTATAGAGGCAGTCATAGTCTTCCGGAACACTGACATCTGCTGGTAGTTGCAAGTCACAACATTTAGGTGCAAAAGAAAATGGCAATCAAATCAGGCTAGGCAAACACTCTGTATTTCAAGTCCAGCTTTCATTTTAAGATTGGTAGGACTCTAATCACACTAATATAAGTAAAATATGTACCTTGCATAGCTATTTCTCTCCACTCTGTAGGTTACTTGTACAATGAGTTGTCACTGTTTTCATTGCACTATCAGACCATGGGCTGTTGTTTGTAACCTTTGTGCTGAAGATCAAAATACTTCCTGACTAAAACTTATTACTTATGCACTGTATGTACTGTACACTGTATGAGTGCTTTAATAGCAATATTAATATTTTAAATTTTATATGTAGGAGTAAAACTGCTCCTATATTTATTGCAAAATGTGGCATTCCATAAGTTGTCTGTAAGAACAGCAGCCCTAGACAGTTTCACAGAATCACAGAATCACAGAATTTCTAGGTTGGAAGAGACCTCAAGATCATCGAGTCCAACCTCTGACCTATTTGATTACTGCTTCCTTCTGCTTAGGTTTACTTCATTATCAGTTCATATATAAATATATATATATATATTAAAGTAATGCCCTCAATGTCAAATATGATCCAGTAATAGTTATACTTTGTATCAGACACTATTTTAACAACATGATGCTGATGTAAAGAAAAATTGAAGCACTGCTGGTGGCAAACCTCCTTTCAAAAAATATGAATCAACATAAAAAAAAGTTGTAAGAAATGATGCGTTATGTTGCTTTATGCCTTCCCATATTTGAGATAGATGGCTGGATTGAAAAAACTAGCTTTTAGCAAATTCATACATTTTTCACAATGTAATTGGAACTGTGGGTGTGGAAAAGAGTATTGAAAAGCCACATTCATCATTTATGCCCAAGGCTTTCTTGTGACTTCCAGAAAGCTGCGATAACTTAAAGAGAGCGTTTTAAAAATCAGGTCAGACTGCCTAGAGGCCATATGCATGAATACTCCAACCATCATTAGCAGCCGAGATAGTTACTGACTGAGGTAGTATCAGTTCTTTCAGAAGAAGAGCTGCTTGTAAGCTGACTTTGAAATAGCACTTGGTGGGATGACTTCAGTTTAAGATGAAGCCAATTGCTCAGCAAAGACCATACATGGGTTCCTGAGTGATCTGAAATAAGAACTCTGGCAATGCAAACCTAGCTAGCTTCTGGCTGCCTCCGTCTCTCCTGCAGCAGCTTCTGTAAGTGGGGGACTCAGCACAGTAAGTCAGCAGAAAATTATTTGCTCTTTTGTCAGTTTAGTTTTCTGCAAGATCGACATGCAGCAGTAATGGAGGGAAAGGTCTGACAAGCACTGGCCTGAGCACAAGGTGAGGAACGGGACTGCAGGGATGTGCAGGCTACTGTCACTGACAATTAGAGAAGTCTAGACTGCTATGAAAATGCAGAATTTTACTTTAATGCTTTGTTCCCATTCCCACGGAGATACATTTACAACTGCTACAGATTCAATTGGGAACAGACCTTTATTCTTAAATATCAACCATACCAGAAATGTTTGCAGAAATACATTTATCTTTCACAGACAGCTCAATGTCAAAGAACTGTCATTTGATCTGTGTTAACTGGTGTACTGAAGGAAGATGAAAAAGGAAAGGCAAACCTTCACTTTCAATTATTATTGTTAACTTCACACACTAGAAAGATCTATTAAAATCAGATTGCTCTTCTAGAAACAAAGTACTATTCAGTTAAATAAGGGACTTTGTCGCACAAAAGGAACAGGAATTAATGTGGTTTCAGACAGTTCCCCCAGGACTTCTTCTGAGTTTGGAGCAAATTCTTTGTGTATTGCAATATGTTTTAATCAAACTTGTCCAGGCACTACAAAATTTGAAGGCTTAAAAAAAGTGTTTTTGGAATTGTCATATATAACTTCAAAATTTGAAAGATGTATATTCAGAACATACTGACTTTACATATTCCAAGGAAATAATACAGAGCTTTCTTTTGTGTTGAAGATATTTTATGAAAGAATGAACAAAGCTATAAATGATTAAAAAAACAAAGTAAAGAAACCTGACAAAAGTAAGGGAAAGCAGTGGCAGGAGTAGTAGAAGATGCAGTGAAAGGAACATTGAGAGAAAGGAAGAAATACTTTTATTGTCCCATTGATATGACTTTTCAGATAATCCACTAGAATAATAATACTCTACAAGACAAAAAGCAGCTACAAGCTTTGCCTTTTTATCTGATAGCTGTAAGAACTAGCTTCCTTTTAACATGCATCTAGCTATGAAGTTCACACACTGCATTTAGTGACTTGGATTTGAAATTAGAGTTTAATTACAGACGCTGAAGAGAATGTGAGCCAGCACAGAGCACCTAGGTATGAGACTCACAGATGTGCTGGGAGGGTCTCTCGCTTGCTAATCTGAGAATTGTCCAGCCATCCTGGACATGTCATATCTACATGGAACAGAGACTGACTGAAGTAGAGTGTTTTTGCTTTTTATAGCAGCAGTAAACTTAATCACCCACGTTATCTCATTTCCTTGTGGAATGCTCTTCAGGTATTTTTGCCCTCCTAGTCCTGGAGACTCTTCCTTATACCTCCCTTGCCAAGTCCACCCATAGAAAAGCATCGCAACCAGTCGCTGTTTATCTACAGCTAAACAGACTGCTGAAAAGTAATTTTTCTTCTTACATGTAGCAAAAAATTATGAAAAAGTTTATTTTTATTCTTTCTTTCTTTCTTTCTTTCTTTTTCTTTCTTTCTTTCTCTCATTCTTTCTTTCTTTCTCTTTTTATTTCCTCTTTTTTCTTTTTCTTTCTTTCTTTCTTTCTTTCTTTCTTTCTTTCTTTCTTTCTTTCTTTCTTTCTTTCTTTCTTTCTTTCTTTCTTTCTTTCTTTCTTTCTTTCTTTCTTTCTTTCCTTTTCTTTTTCTTCCTTCCTTTCCTCTTACTTATTTTTGGGGATCAATGTACATATATATATATATATGTGTATATATATATATCTCAAATGATTTAAAGATGGCAGCAGTGTATTTCAGTGAAAACATTTCTGTAAGTCCGTGGCTACCAAATGCATTCTTCCCAGTACGTTGCCGTGCAGTACAGAAGCTCGCGGCTCAGCATTTCTCGCGAATACGATCATGCATTTCTAGCCTCTGTGTGGTATCACGGGGAAACACAGCAACCCTCATAATTCTCGTAACTCTTATAACTGGGTTGATAATTGGGTTCATAAACCAATTAGCAGCGCCGTGCCGAGCCCGGCCTGCAGGGCGCAGCACCGTGAGCCTCCCCCTCCCCAGCGGGGCGGCGCCGTGAGGGCGAAGCCGTGAGGAGGGCGTTTTGTGCCTCGCCTCGCCCCGTAGCGAGCGGGCCGCCGGGGCTCCACGTCGGCCGCGCAGGCGCAGCAGCGCCGCCGCTCACCTGCTGCGGGGAGGGGGCCGGGAGGAGGAGGAGGAGGAGGGGGCGGCGGGGGGAGGAAGGCCGCGCCGAGACGCGCCGCCATGTTCAAGAAGCTGAAGCAGAAGATCAGCGAGGAGCAGGCGCCGCCGCGCCGCGCCGCCCCCCTACAGCCGCAGGGCGCCGCGGAGGGGGTGCGTTGGGCTTTGTGTCCCCTCTGGGGCGCGGGGGGTGGGCGCTGGCAGGTGCCCGGCACCGGGGCTCGCCGTGTGCGACGCTGCCCAGGCCGCTGCGCTGGGGCGGAGCAAGGAAACGAGAGCAGGTTTTTGCCTTTTGGGTGGAGTGCGGTGGTTTTCTGTCGCTTGGTGTTGCTTGGTGTCGCCTCGGTTGGTCTCCAGTGCTGTTAGGAGGAAAGTGGTGTTGGATTTGGGGTTACAAGCGGAACAGGGCACGCTGCTCGCTCCCCGTGTCGCGTTTCCAAATGGCTTGTGTCAACGAGGAAGGAGGGAGAGGGTTTTGAGGTCTAAAATGCGCCACAGTCCTGCGAAGAGCGTGGAATATACTGAATATACTTCTGTTCCCGTCCTCGTAGCGGACACGTAAATAAGCTGCGTTCAGTTTATTGGGTGCGCTGTCACCACCTGACCATCAGCTGCTTCCTATCAAAACATTTTCAGCCCAAGTTTTACAGGCATTCGGCACTTAGTAGCTCTGTGAGACTTTTACTTGCGTTCAATTTTGCTCTTTACTATACCCTGTCACAGGGAGGCTTTGCTTACCATACCCTCTCTCCATTATTAATAACCTCTCTCTAGAACATAAAACTTGCCATTTGTACTCTGGCTTGCAGTGTCCGAGGCTAAATTTACCAGCCTAAGAGCGATAAATCCAGGGGTAGTATCTCTCCAAGCGTAACATGAAGGTAACGCTCATCCTGAGGCCTCCTCTGTGGGCCTCCCCTTTCCGCATGGGCTGTTGGCGAACTGATGTCCCCTCTCTGACTCTGACAGCCTGCGCTCTCCCCCTGCCTGATGAAGGACGGACACAGCAGTTTGTAACTGCTGATGGGGAGAAAAAGCTGCCCCTGCAGTTCTGGGCGGCTGTGTGGGCTCCCCTGCCCTGCCCGCCTCCAGTTTCAGAACTGTGCTGGTCGTTACCCAGGAGCAACGACTGTGCCCGCTGCCCAGCACGGTGCCTCTGAAATGGCTCTGAAGCCTCTGGAGGTCTGAGTGCAGCGGTTAAGGGCATTAAGGGCAGAGTGAAGAGAGGCCTTCATGCCCCATCTAGTAGTGAAGTGCTGATGGACACTTGGAAACCTTTTTCGTTTTGTATGGTGAGGGCTAGAAGTCCCCCCACTGTAAATGGCTGACCTTAAGTTAGAGGGCGAGCAGAAAAGGAGAGCAGGCTACTGGGGTGAGCAGGGTGTTGTCATTGTTCAGGCTGTACGGATACCTCTGGAGCAAAACTCTTCAGCAAGATACAGAGCTGGCCTGGTTATCAGGTACTAAGCTGGGTGTCTGACTTAAGAAGAGTCACATTCTCAGGAGGAAACTTTCTCTCTGTTTGGTTTGGCCTGTAAACTGTCACTGACTCTGGTATAACCATGTATTTCCTATGATACCAGACTTAATTAATTACTATCCAAATCTGGCAAAACATACCTATAGGCTTTAGCTACGTCTTCTGTTCTTTCTCTAGAAGACTGACGTTTTTAGGGGTAATATCTCTTCAGTGGACTAATGCACTGTCATTTATGTTTTAGTCAGCTCAGTCATGGTCTTGAGACTAATATTCTGTGAGGCAGAATTCACATACACAACCTAAATGATGGTACTGCAAC